TTTACTTTTCAAATAGAAAAGTAACTCATTACTTTCTCGTTACAAAAATAAAAAAAAAAAAATTGTATTTATTGACAATTATCTTGTCTGCAGGCAAATTGAACAAGCAAATTATTTATAAAACATGTATAGTTAATAGGATCATATAAAATGTAGTCTTCTACACAAGATATATTCATAGGAAACTTATTTAAAGAAATAAAATAAAATAATAAATTTAATTAACTGTTCTCGTGATTTAAGGTGCAATTAGACATTTAAAATGTCAAAACCATTGAAAACTGAATTGTGCCGATTTAAAATTAAATATATATACATATTAGATTGGTAAGCATAATAATACCCACATTATACATACATTTATTTTCAATTCACAATAGGTATAGGTAGGTACCTACTTAATATTTCGAAACTGTAACTCGTTATTCTATAGAAATTACTTTTCATAAATAATTTTAATGAAATTACGTAACGCATTACAAGCAAAGTAAAGCCGTTACAGTAACGCATTACTTTCGTAACATTACTACCCAACACTGCTTCATAGCCAGTTCTATAGTATGTGAAATAAACATTTTTTTTTAAATAATTTTTGGGGATTGAGGATTCGTGACTATATTATAGATAAGGGTCTACCAGGGTCTAGGAACATCCCGATTTCCCGGTGGGCCTATCCACCCATGCAGTTAGACATATAATACAATAAATGTTGTTTCACACAGGAGGTACCTATATTAATATCATTGTACATTGATATAGGTCAAAATCATCTAATTTCAAATATCATTTGAGGGGTTTTCGGGGTCGCGTTACAACCTGAACTCGAACGGTGTAAGTTATTATAATATTATAATAATATGCGGACGCCGAACAGCATAATTTAGAGAGATTCCAAGTCATCAGCTGTAGGTATGAAGGTACCTACCTACTCGTTACTGCACGTCACTCATTCTGAAGTTATATTATTATTTTTAATTCTAATGCAACGACAAGATTATTTCGAAAGCCACCAAGTACGTGTTAGCTCAAAATCCCCATACTCTTATAGCGATTTTTTTTAATAAACTAGTTGTATTGGTCTAGCATAATCTTGTGTCGGTGCCGACTCAACGTATATGAACATATAACTATTTTATGTATACCAGTTATATATTACATTGGGTAAAATAATTAGGTTAGCCTATATAAGGTATAATTACCCCACCACATTTGAGATTTAACTTCTGGTCTGTAGCTTTTGGATTATAATATCACAGTTCGTCCTATCTTTAATTTAAATAGATACTAAAAAAAAAATACAATTTTGTAAGTACGATGATGAATAATATATTAATCGAAACAAGTTATTTGAGTTTTATCATCATACACAAATACTGACAAGTGACAATCATCTATACATATTAAAAGTATGAATTATCATATAATCTATAGGTATATTCGATTTAGGTACAGAAAGTATTGCAGTCCACAGTCTATCTTCCAAAATTATTCCTATACAATCCTATTTCCTGTATAATCCTGAAGCTATCCCAAAGAGGACAATAACTAAAAGCAGTGGATGGAAAAAATTTCACGACCTGCCCACAGATAATATGCACTCCACGAACGTGATACTATTTCACCTCTATCATATTGTAAACCTTAGTTGTGAATGTATACAACATTTTAACATTAAACACACGACAAAGATATTACAATATTAAAATATAATGCATAGATATTATATAATATTACGAGTTTCTGACGTCGTGGCAACGTTATCGCACCGGAAAGTGCTGCGATGCACCATACATTTTAGTAAATATCACATTCCCACCCCACTCTAGAGGGTTGATGGTTGTTGGTGGATAGGACCGGGGTGATGGAAGACAACGACAGTTTATGTGGCTGTAGATAGTAAAATAACATAATATTATACCTAATATTGTAGAGGTACCTACGTGTATATATACTATTATGTTATAATGTGCAGAGGCAAAATGAAAAATAAACTTGCTATCTTTACACGCACACGGCTAATATGTGGTGGATTTTGAAGGGTCCGTTGCAGAGCACCGACTGTAGCACCGTGAATGAAACCGTCAAGAGGAAAACAAATATACCTAGTTAAGTTTGGTCGAATTATGATCTCAAAACTATACATTACACGCAATACAATAACAGCAACAATAAATGCAATGTAATTAATGTAAGTTTACAATTTACATACTTGACAGATTTTAGTACAATATTATAATAGCAATAATATAATATTTTATTCACATTTTTTTCATGTAAGTTTTGTATAATATCAAAAAATTATTTATAACTAGGTATACACCATAGCTACCTATATACAATAATTTGCAACAGTTTAAAAATATAATCTTATACAATTCATATTTTTTTTCTTCTCATATAAATTTACTTTCAACTTCTTAATATATAGTTCTTAAAACTTCAACTGTACATTTTTTGAATGATTTATTAGTCAATATTTTCTACATAATTACCAGCCGACATTAAAATATTTGACGACGAATTTAACATAATATTATAACAATATGATGTGGTTACAATTTTCATATAAAAATACACCAAACGTACAAAATATAAGTACACATACACAGTGGGTTTGATCGGAATAGAGAAGATATACATATTATAGTCATTAGGTAGGAAATAAATATTTTATCATGTATGTATATCAATATCAGTCGTATAAAACTGGAACTGTGGAAGAAATTCACGATATGCCTACTAATTACTATGATTACATTTGTGCACAAATGGCCAAATGATTTTTCAAAAAACATTATTTGTACAAGATTAGATTAAATGTCCTACAAAATGTTATTGCTCATTAATTATCAAGAAATTCGTCGAATTTGCGGTTTTAGCTATAATATGTAAACTATTATAATATAATGTGGTGTATCAAATGTTTTTTCTTGCTTTAGTTAGCTTGGCCTTTAACGTGTAATTATAATATAATTTATAAGCTATGATAGTGTGATAAAATTGTATAAAATAATAAATTATACAAATATCAAATAATGACTCAAATATAATAATTATAATCGGCAATAATAGTAATTATAATAATTTTAATAATAATAAGCTTTAATACGCAGCAAAAATGAAAAAAGTATATATTAACGACAAATGTATATATCAAGGACTGGGACCTTGATGTTTTTTACGGTTCCGATTCCTATTCGGTTCAAAATAAAACTAACATTTCGGTTTCAGTTCCAATTCGGTTAGGTTAGGTTAGGTTAGGTTAAAACTAAACTTTCGGTTACGGTTCCGGTTCAGTTTCCAGAAAAACTAACATTTAGGTTTTGGTTTCTTTTCGGTTCTTAAAAAATAAAAAAATTGTTTCCTGATTTGGTTTTTTACTTAAGGAAAAAAATTTTTCAAGTAAAAGTATTGGTTCAGGTAAGGTTCCAGTTATTAAATTAATTTAAATAAGGGTTCTAGTTCCAAAACCTGTTCTTTTCGGTGAGGTTCCAGTCCCTGCTGAGAAAGACTACTGGTAATAAAAACAATGCAATGATGTCACGATTCAATTACCGGGGTTTTATCGACTCCGCCGGCTATCGATTCCGCCGGATTTTTGTTTATGTTGATTCCGCCGACTATCGATTCCAGCGGTTATTTATTTATATTGATTCCGCCGATTATCGATTCCGCCAGTTATTTATTTATGTTGATTCTTGATTCCGCCGACTGTTTATTAAACAATAACCAAAGTATCATATTATACAGAATTTTTTTTTTAATTAACAGCATAGGTTAGGGTACACTTACTATAAAGTAAGTTCTATTTAAATAAAAACATTGTCGTCTATAACGGATAATATTTATTAAAATAATAAAATAATATAATATAACTCAAATATCTAGTGATTATTATTTTTAAAAAATGAAGTAAGATCGTAATATTTTTAAATAGAGTAATATAATATGACCGTAGTACCTCAAATGGGAGACTTCTACGATCTGTTGTATCTACTTTGTTACTTTTATTATTCATCAATTGTTCTTATTGTTCTTTGTGTAACAGATTGAATAAAAAAAAAAAGTTATATAATATAATGTGGTCAATTTTTAAAATAATTAACAATATAGGTTAGGGTACAGTTAGTGGTACACTTAGTTTTCCATAATAGTATAAATTAAGTTTTATTTGAATAAAAACAATTCAAACATTGTCGTCCATAACGGATAATAATATTATATTAAAATAATAAAATAATATAACTCACATATCAGATCGTCATATTTTTAATTAATTAATTAATAATAATAATTCCGTATTATGGTAAGGTAAAAAAAGTTTAGAATGAAACGATTCACAACTGTTAGTTGTTCGCTCTGAAGAAATTGAAGACGACGCCCGTATTTTTGGATTAAATTTTGATGTTTCATCAATGTAATTATCACATAGATAATCACAGAATTTTTTTAACCTCGCGTCATCAGGATCGACTGACATAAAATCTTCAATAAAGCTTTCGCTTACCTCTTCTGCATTTAATAATGGCAAACCGAATATCCATTTTAACCAATGTCCAATTTCACTATTGGCATCCTTGTATTCAATTGATAAACCTATAATATAGTTAATGTATATAGTATATACTATATAATATATAATAATATGTAATAATGTAATAATTAGTAATTACCAAAGTTTTGTATATGTCGCCACCAACTTTGAGTCAGATGAAATCTACATCCAATGATCTTCATTTGTGGCCATACAAACTTTGCTACTACATGTATAGCTTCTTCAAAATCAGCAACAAGTGTAGTTGGATTGAATTTAAAATTTTGAACTGAGCATTTTCTACAATACATCTAAATGCACTAGCATATGTATTTGCATATTTGTCCGGCAGTAAAAAGTACGATAATGGAACATAATGTCCATTTTTAAAAATGTGAACAGTAAATAGTTGATAAAAATATTTAGGGCAACTATAAAATGTGCCATCTACAAATATTTTGTCACATTAACAAAGCAATTTCAAATTCGAAATTGTAGAGTAAAATAATATATTGTGTGTAGAGTCTACATCGAGTAGGAAATCTTCGTTTTCTATGGTTGTAATCTTCCGATTTGTCATTAATTCGATGACTTCAGAAATGCTTTTTGGTAACGCTGGATAAGAAGATCGACGAGACCGGTACAAACATTGATATATATTATTTATATCAGTACCATTAAATAATTTAGCTTGTTCAGGATTTTTTTGGATTTCTGTGTTTATTATTTTTGATGGTCTTTCCAATTCATCTTCACATTTTCGTTTCAATTGATTTGAAAATAATTTTTTGTTTCTTACAGATTCGGTTTCATTTTCATGACTATGTGAACTTTCATCTTTTACAATCATCTTCATGTCAAGATCAACATACATTTTTGAGGTGCACTTTTTATTGACACATTGCCATTTATTAGCGTCTAAGTATTTAACATACGCTTTGTTATAAAATTTAAATTTTTCATATAAGATTATTTGATTTTTTCGTTCACTATAAACAATTTCAAAATTAATTTTGTCAGTTGACACGGTGTAACACAAGACGCGCACAAGACTACAACGGTCACTAAATGTCGATTATTTGAACACTGCAGAACATAAGTGATCAATATTTAAGATCATGAATTATGATCGATAAGACTTGTACTTACTTTTATTGTATGTAGCCATGTAGGTCCTAGTACCTACATGTGATAAAATATATCATTTTTCATAAACCTTTTATAGATTATATTGATTAAGATATATAAACCGTTGTCCGTTGCGATAATACGCGATTTCCGCTGGACTAAATATAGCTGTGTACCTATAATATTATGTTATAGATACAGTTGAACAGTTTAAACTTTAAAGTTCAACTTATCTGTTCATTGTTCGTGTATTATTCTATTTCAACTTATTTTGTTACGAGTTAACTACAAATTACAGTAAGTTATAGTGTGTACCTACTAATGAAATAAAATATATTTTAACATAAATTTAAACATAAGCCTTTTATATGTAGTTATTGCTGTATAATGTAAAAAAATTCGGCGGAATCAATATGTAAAAAAGTTCGGCGGAGTCGATAGCCGGCGGAATCGATATGTAAAAAAGTTCGTCGGAGTTGATACGCGGCGCAATCAATAGATTTTTTACAGGTAAAAAGGTCATTTCGGTGCAATCGATATACGCCCCAATTACCTAATGATCATTTTTGAAACAATAATTCGATAAACATTATACATTATATTAGGTACACCTCCCCCCCCCCCCCCCGTGTAAATGGATTTCCAAATATTTTTATAACTTGACAATATTCTTGAAGTCAAAACTACAAAACTATCATATACAATATTTTAAGAAGAAAATAATTGAAAACCACTTTATTTTTTTAAACATTGAAAAGCATACGAAATTTAATATTTGTTATGTATATGAAATTAGAAATTTAATAACAAGAAACAACAATTTATATCACAAAATTGAACATTAAACAGTGCTGTATAATGATATGTTAACATGATTTATCCTATTTTAATATGGCCTTTGGATCATAGATCTTTGATAAATTCTATCAGTTTGACATGTGCGTCAGCTTGTGTCCATCGCAGGCGTACGGTTATTCACCAGTGTGTGTGCGTCGATGTGTTGTCAAATTGCCACTTACCGAGAACGACTTGTCACATACATCACAGGCGTACGGTTTTTCGCCAGTGTGTGTGCGTCGGTGCTTTGTCAAAAGATCACTTACCGAGAACGACTTGTCGCATATATCGCAGATGTACGGTTTCTCACCAGTGTGTGTGCGTCGATGTGTTGTCAAATTGCCACTTTGAGAGAACGACTTGTCACATACATCACAGGCGTATGGTTTTTCGCCAGTATGTGTGCGTCGGTGTTTCGTCAAATTATCATTTTGGGAGAACGACTTGTCGCATATATCGCAGATGTACGGTTTCTCACCAGTGTGTGTGCGTCGATGTGTTGTCAATTGATTACTTTGGGAGAACGACTTGTCGCATACATCGCAGGTGTACGGTTTTTCACCAGTGTGTGAGCGTCGGTGTTTCGTCAAATTATCATTTTGGGAGAACGACTTTTCGCAAACATCGCAGGCGTACGGTTTTTCACCAGTGTGTGTGCGTCGATGTGTTCTTAATTGACCACTTTGGGAGAACGACTTGTCGCATACATCGCAGGCGTACGGTTTCTCACCAGTGTGTGTGCGTCGATGTGTTCTTAATGGACCACTTTGGGAGAACGACTTGTCGCATACATCGCAGGCGTACGGTTTCTCACCAGTGTGTGTGCGTCGATGTGTTCTTAATTGACCACTTTGGGAGAACGACTTGTCGCATACATCGCAGGCGTACGGTTTTTCACCAGTGTGTGTGCGTCGATGTGTTCTTAATGGACCTCTTTGGGAGAACGACTTGTCGCATACATCGCAGGAGTACGGTTTTTCGCCAGTGTGTGTGCGTACATGTTTCATCAAACTGTCTCTCAAAGAGTATGCCTTGTGGCATATATCGCACTTGTAAGATTTATTCTCCATTTATCCGCTTTTGTGTTGTCCGTCTGCTATTATCATTAAATAATTTTATTAATATGTAACTGTATTTCATACAATTATTTGGTTACTATGCTATTTTGTTTATGATCGATTATAATTTATTTACTTCACCATATTTTTTTAAGTCAGCACTAATTGTTGTATTACTTTTTACACTTTAAATAAAGTATAATATGATGCTGAATATAACTTTACAATTATTTTTAAAAAAAACATTAATTCATTTTTTTCGTACTTTGTCTGTGGTTTTTCCCAGTGACATTAAATAACTATTGAGAAAATTGAAAAATTACCTCTTTAAAGTACCATCTTGATCCAATTTGCTAAAAGATAAGATACTTTATGTTGAAATCAAAGTACTCATACTGGTATAACATTTGTATAAAAAAAAAAAATTAAACACCATTGTAAATCCCTCACTCCGCTCAGAATCTAAAATGTTTAAAAATAAAATAAATGAGTTTTAGAAAGAAATATTTTGAAAACAATTTAAATGTTATTTGCAATGTGATATAAAAGGATGCTAAACATATCACTCAATACTAAAAAAAATCTTTTTTTTTACTATGAAGGATACAAATGGGAAATATAATAGTATTTTAAAATTGTGTCGTAGGTAGAACTTAGGTGGAACCTTTATGATTTTTTCGGTTTCGGTCCTTCAAAAAAATTAAAATTCGGTGCCGGTTCTTAAAATTACAGAATTAATGTTCCGGTTCTGGTACCGGTAAATACCGGTATTTAGAGGTAAAATATTTTTCAAAAAGTAAAAAAAAAACGAAGTACCTATAAACTTTATACATATCTATATTATAGGTATCTAAAATGATAAAATCAAATTATAGTAGCCTTATTGGGTTAAAGGACTTACTAAAGTTTACTATAATTTTGTTTTAAAAACATCCAAAACAAATTTTAAAAAATAGGTTTGGCTCATATTGTAAGAAGTGGAAGTCAGTGCATCGTATAATTTGATACAATCAAACACTCAAATACTCAATGGTCTCTATAATAAGTGGTTTAATTTAAATAATAGCCTAGAATTGTTGTATGATGTGCATGTTGCTAAATGACCAACTTTGTAGTAGTTTATATCATCAATTAGCTTACTCAATACTTGAGAATGGAACTCTGCCTCGATATATTATCTTAAATTCTAAGTTCTTGTAAATTAATTTTTATATATAGGTTATTTGTATTTTGTACAAGGTACATAATTTTTTATTGAAAAGGCTATTGAAATGAATGGTCAGTATATAATGACCAATATATTCATCTCTTTGGTCCTTGACTAACTTACTCTGTAGCCGTGGTGTGTGAGTCTGTGGCCTTGTGATTTGTAAAATTCAGCTCAAACTACCGACATTTATACCAGAAATTGTATATTAGGTTAGGTTAGGTTAGGTTTTTATTCTATAAAAATCATATTTTGGGTAAATAGGTACTTAGTTTAATACTTAACTGATGATTTTTAGTATAAATTAAAATGAAAAAATTACTTTTCTACTAAAACTTATATTGATTAATTTACTTTTTCTTATTTCAACTTTGAAGTTTCCAAATCTAAATTCATTTTTGAAAATTTTCGGTCTATTTAATATGAGACCATAATAATATATAATATAATAAGAGACTTAAATATAATTTATATTACTTTTAAAATGTAATCTATATTATAGAATAAACATTAAAAAATAGTATTTTTGGTGGCTTAAAAGACAAAATGTAATTTTTTTTTCATGTAAAATTCAATATGATAACACTCATAATGACGTTGATGACATTCTTCATAGTTTTACAGGACAATATGCAAAAAATTACTAATGGGAAATTTCCATTTAGATTCTGAATGTGCCTATTTGGGCAGTAAACAAATAATAAATTCAAATATATGTATACAGTAACGCTGTATTTATTTGTGGTCGTCCTCTTAGCAATAATCACTGTAAATGAGACCCCTCAGCCCTTACTACAAAAAAATAGACAATATTTTGAATTAGCCAATGGCCATTATAGCATAATATAGTCTTATAAGTTATAACTTAACTGAGATAAAAACAATTTAGTAAATTATTAACTTTGAGCTTTTTTATTTTTTTCTATCAACTAAACTTAAATCATTTAAAATATATAATTTAATTCCCCAGCCTAGCTACTTAGTAGTCAGTACCTACTATATAACTTTTCAATTTGTCATAAATAGTGTATTTCTATATTCTATGTGCCAATTGATTATAATTTATGTACCTATGTATGATAATTTATCAGTGCAGTTTTACACGTAGAATATGATTGAAACTAATTTCGATATGTACCAACACGTTTAAATAGCATCCTGTGTATAGGTATGGTGTGACAGTAATCGGTGGAAGCAATTTACTACGTAGGTACCTACCAACTGCCTGTAAAATCAAACCACGGAGATAAGTATACGTCAGTACAACCGAAACGTCTTCCCTAAGGATCTTGGCTGATATGTCACAGCGCAGTTAGTTCCCAATGGATATAATATCGTAATGGGCTTATTTTAGTTCAATTTCACTTAGGTTAAGAACAATGTAATGTTCAAACATTCAAAGGGCACTAGGGGTTCAAAAAAGTTAATTTTTAAAATTTAAATTGAAAGTTGAAATAAATGTATTTTTATTTTTTAATGTATATTCTGTTAATAATGTTTGTCTTCCTTAATTACTGTAGGGTTATTGCTGACAACGATTTAATTGGCAAAATATCATCGTGGCCTTAAAAAATTATGGTTTTTGTTAGCAGGCGCCTCTCGGTACGTACTCGTGAGATGTTCTGTTTTTGCTAATAGATAAAT